TTTTTTTTTAGTACAAAGGCCGTTAGCCTAGAAGGGCTGTTAACATTGTTTTGGCATTTTGCGTTGAAAACTTAAATGTCCGTTTCACTTTTCAAATTGTTCCACCCAATATTATCGTCCTTTGTTATATTTAAAGAAATGAAATAATGAAGAATCTGCATAAATGTATGTACGTTTCTCGCATTGTGATAAAACAACGTACCTAGAGCCATCATATTTTGAATAACGTAATCCTCTATCGAATATGGGCATCTGGAAGCCCTAATTTGGAATTTGTTTTATTATCGATTTGACATTTTGTAACACTTAACGAATTTTTGATCAACAAACTCAACGATTTTAAAGCGAGCAGTGGCAATACTGTACAGGAGAGAGAAAAAAAAAAATTCGTGCGAGACTGTGTATCGGAAATTCTAAAGATATGCTCTTTTAAATATTTTGTGATATTGGTGTTGAATTGAATTTTACGGTTTAAGTGCGAAGAACATGATATTTAATAAATAAAGGTGGCACACAAAACGTTAAAAAAACAACCCTTTAAGCGTAATATAAAATCTGAAAGATCTCGGTTTTTTTTTTCTTTTTTTTTAATATTTCTATTCGTAAATTGCAAAATAATCATTGTAAAATGTAATAGTAGTACTACTAAATGTTTTCAATTTTGGTTTTGACGGTACGCGTTTGTCAAAAAGTTGAGAACCGTTGAATTAACGCAAAGAAACTCAAGGGCTTTCTGCCTGTGTGGAGAAATGCCGTCGTGGAGGACATTTTAATGGAAACGCTCGTATCCATGTTTACGCGTGGAGAACACCACAAAAACTGTCATGCAGTCAGCCCATTCGCCAGAATTCGAACTCGGCATGAACTACCAGTGTTCGGCGATTCTATTGCTCGGCCGCTGGTGGGCGAGCCACAAACTATATACCGATAAGTGATCATATTTGCTATGCAAGTTAACTTTTTCTTAACTAAAAATTTGGAAATAGTTTTGGCTCCATTTAAGAAACGGATACTTTAAAAATAAGGAAGAACCGTAGTACGCTCGTCCTCTATCCGTAGGATAAGATCCGACTAAAGAAAAGTTTTTACTGAATTTTTGCAAGGGAAAAAATGCTAGTTTTACCACTGTTATAGGGCAATTTCCTTCGACGAGATTCCTGTGTGTTTTTAAGATGGCAATTATAACAAAGTTTCTAAAAACCAAAGAAATTAGACTTAACTGCAGGTTCTTTGTATTAAAGAAGTAACAACACGTATAAAATATCTATTTATTTCCCTAGTAATTTCACAAAATGCTTTTTGTAGTCTTGTTCAGCTTATTTTTCAATAGAACCACGAAGTAGTTTTGGTTCAGTCACAGCTGTGTGGCAATATTTGTTTTATAGATCCTCATTCATCTCGTGTCAAGACAGCATGCACGGTCATATTTAATAATGCGAATTGGTGCTGTTTTATACCTCTTCTCTAACCACTCTCTTCTCCCCGTCATCGATCAGTCCGGCGAACTTAAATTGATTGCAGCGGACAGTTAACTTGTGTAGAATGCTACTCCCAACAGTAAACAAGTTAACCTCCTTTGCTGTATTACAGAAGTCGGCATATGTAATGCTGTAAGACTGTAGGGTTCTGGCCCACTGATGTTGTATGAAGTCTGACGTTTGGTTTATTTTATTTCGTTATGATAAAGCAAAGGAAGGCTACCTGACCAAAGAGATGGATGCCTTCGTGAGGGACTTTCTAAAGAAACTGTCTCGTATCCACGTTACACATAAGAAAAATCACAAAAACATCTATATAACCCGCCTGATCGCCTGAAATCGAATCCAGTTTGAACTAGCAGTGTTCAGCTACTTTACCGCTCCGACGCTGTTTGGCCAAGTCTAGCGTCTTGATACGGTTTTAAAGGTCAGGGCTTTGATGCAGTTTGAAACTCAGCCATCCTGTTCTTTTTAACGTAATGAAAATATCTTAACAAATTTAAGATAAAAACCTGTAAAAAATACCTTTAATTTTCGAAATTAGTCTTTTTATTGATATTTTATTTTATCGTCAATTTAAGCACTGTCATAAATTTACATTAAAAAAAAAACATTATTATATATTTAAAAATGAGCGAAAGGCCTCGCTACTAATCTACTATTATTTAATAAGTATAATATTGACACATTTTTATATTCCTTTGTGCTTAGTTCTTTCTCTAACAAATTATGTCTTTCTTTTCGTATTATTTTATTCCATAAAGATATAAAAAAAGTCTCTTTTATAGTATTAAAATACTTCAGTGTTTCATTACTGCAGCAGCTGTAAATGTTATTAGAGTTAATATGTGCGGGCTTATATGCCGGACAAACTGTGTCTGAAATTTAAAGTTGCTTGTGTATAGACTACTACTATAACCCTTTAACTGCATGTTTGAGTTATCTAGGGTTTCATCAGCACTATACTACATTTAACGGTTATCGGCATTTAATAAAAACTAAAGTTAAAATCCTTTTCCGTTTTTTTTTTCTTCGATTTCATTTCTGTTTTAAGATGCTTGAATGCCAGGGATGAACTGTGTTGAACCGCCGCTGAATGTATGCATTAATTTGACGGCAGCAATGAAAAATAACTGCTTGGAAAAATATGGATATGTATTCCATGTAGTAGAATTATTCCCGTCATCGATCAGTCCGGGTAGTCGAGTAGTAATTTGACATTCCCCATATCCCATCAAATTTTTCTAAAGGTCTGCTGGAAATTTAAACAAACCCTGGTATTCTTCTGTTATTGGAACCGAATTGAGAAATATATGTATAAATGCACGTGGTGTAACATATGTGTGTGTCTATACAAATCATACATACGTATGTGCATGCCTACGTTTCTCCGGTTCCGATAACAGAAGAATACCTAAACCCTTTTCACACTGTAAGAATTTCTCTAATGACATTTTGTACTGGAATTTTAAAGACTATCTTAGTACTTGTTAGTAAACGTACTGAATGATAGAACTAAATATTTTTCTTTAGAGTGTATCACAGTCTAATCATATCACTCCTATGTTTTCGGGTCGAGAAATTCGGAGGTTTTAGCCTAATTACTTCAGTATTTAGATAAAAAAATCTGTTTGTTTGTAAAAAATTGGAAACCGTAAAAAGAATTTCGTGTCATGTTGTGAACGTTTGTACGGTATCTCATTTTTTATACATATTTTTATGGAAACTTATTTCGCATTTTGATCCTTTTAATCAAAGATGAATATGTGAATGAGCTAGATTTTAATTTTTAACCTTTGAGCTTGAAGAAAATCTCCTTTTTATTTGGGGGGGGGAGGGTATATATTTTTGTTTGTACCTTAAATATGTTTTACAAGTTTTGTTTTGAATCATGACTTAAATAGAGTGATTCGTTTGAATGAAGATATCGAATATCTTCCTGTTTTCTAGCTGGAAAAGGCAATCATCAATATCGTTGTCAGTAATATCTAAAAAAGTTTGCAAAACCTTATGCTACGAATTAATGTTGTAAAATTTAAAAAATTGTTATTAGAGTAGGAACTTCAATTCAAGTAAAATTTATAGAGCCTTATTTTTATTATTTGTTCAGTTTATGCCACAAATCAAGTCAACAATCAGAATGAAAACGTTGATTTTTTAGGATAATCCATAACATATTTATAACGCAGATTCTTGCGCTTGCATGTAATAGGATTTGTAAATCACAACCCTTTATTAATTTTTAAAACCAAATGTTACCGAAAATTCATTTTGATTTGTATTAAGTTATTCAAATAATAGTTTATTGCTTTTTATCCTAAAAACAAAACTAAAATTTCGAATTGTTTTTTATGAGCAGGTCTTTGAAAGTAAACCAAACTTTAAGATGAATCAGTGTATGAATTCCAGAAGCTGCCGAATAATTTTCTTGATTGCGAATCCAAAAAACATTTTGAAGCTTTAGAATTTTTCGACGACTCGAGAGATTCGATTCATTATATAAAAAATAAAAATAAGAAAACAAAGGAAAAAAAATTGCGTAACAGCCAAAGCCAAGTTTGAAATCTGCTAATAAGCAGATTTAAGAATACAGTTTTGTAAACTACATCTGTATTCAAGTGGATGACACAAAGGATGTTTACTAAAAGAAGTACTTAATTAAAATTCTTTAAACTTGAAGTATATTTTCTAAATCTTATTTGACATAAGTTATTTTAGTAGCAGTTCACATTTTTTACGTTTTCCCGGAATGATTTTGAATCGAAGTTAAGTACAAGAGGACTTTTTCGAGTAGAATATTAGCGTAGAAGAATGCTGGACATGAACTCTAAATTCGTTCCACAGAATTAAAATTATGGCACTCAGGACTGCCACGAAGTAATATTAATAATCCAAATCTTCTGAAACTTCACGAATCACGTTATTTCGGAATAGATGCTTTTACTAGAAGTCAATGAAATCAACCTTTCTAAAGCTTTTGAATTGAAACGATTAACGCGTATTTCAAGTTAGGATTCGAATGACGGAAAAAAACGCGCATTCAAGTTTTCGAACCTCGAATTTTTTTGTAAATTCGGTAAATTCCTCAATTTAAATGTTTCATCCTTAATAAAGTCAAAGATTTAAGATTGCGGGATGTTTATACGGTTATTGAAATATTTTGTTTTCTGAATACTTGCTTGGGTCTTGACGGATAAATAGGCTTATGTTCCTTTTTTGTAAAAAGGTACATAAACTAATTCCTTTGTTAAGATGAATTCTATTTCTATTTATTGAAAAAAAAATGCATTTTGCTTTTATTTATATTTAATAAGGCTTGTTTACAATTATATCATCATAATCTAAAATTTCGACCAGTCTTAAATATTTTGCGAAGAAAGGATATACGAATAAAACTGAAATTTTTATTAACACTTTCTAACCTTATTTAATGTGTCTAAGTGATGTACGGAAATTAAATTTAAATTGTCTACTAATTTTAATAAACTATTTTGTGTTTAAATAATTCATTTTTCTTTTTCATAGAAAAGTGTCAGCATAGAAGAGCGGAATAAATATGGTGCAAGATGGAAAAGCGAAGGCGGTCAAAAAGGGAAAACCCGACTTGGATGATCTCAAGCAGGAGGTCTCTATGGTGTGTACCTCTTTTTAATCTTTTTAGTATTAAAACAGTAATTATAAAAGGTTATCTGTTAGAAATAAAAAGTTTTCTGTATTATTTTATGTTCTTTTGTAAACTTCATGGGAAAAGGTCAAGATCATTTAAGCGTTTACCTCAAAAACTGATAAGTGCCATCATCAGCTGAGATTATTCGATCGGCATTTGCTATCTCATATACTCATATCTGTTGAGAGATGCTTGTTAAGCTGTTCCATATCTTCTGAAGTTTTCGTGTCAATAATAAATAAGCTATATTAAAGTCCTTTTCTTTTCGGTAATTTTAGCAAGTTAATTGTCAAATAATTTCAAATATCGCACTCGCTAATTGCATTATAGGTAGGTATTTTACGAAGAATACTGAATCGGATATAAATATGTTTGAAAACCCTTTTCCATATTTTTTTTAAAACGTGATTCAACTTTAATGCAGCGGACGGGAAAACAAAATGAGAACAATTGCAATTCCATATATTGTATGCGTTGTCATTCTATGGAAAGGAAAATTTAATCTATTTAAAATAATAGTATACGTGATAATTTTTTTATTTGTAGTCGTTGCTGATTAATAGACGTATGCAAATTTGAATGCAGGATATTTATAAAGCGCCTGGACAAATTTAAATGCTCATGAAATTGAGGGCACTCTAAACTACATAGAGGAAGTTTTACTACAAAAGAGCTCATATTTTTAGCATTCAACATTATCATTGAACAAACTGTTTTTCAACATATTGGAAACATTCCTTAGTTATTGCTAAGTGATTTATGGTTTACTTCTAAAATCCTGACCCTAAGCACGTTTAAAAAAAGTGATTTTGATGACCATGCAACTGCTTGACATAACCTCGTAAAAAATAGTCCAATGGTATTCACCTGTACTTACCTAGAAAGGCGTCATGCGCGAAGCATGCTATTGCATAAAAATTGTATAATACTGTATGCAGTTAACATTGTAGTATATTCTTGGCTATTGGTATTTAAAGATTCACGTGGACTTCTAGAACAAGTATATGACTTTTAAGATAGATTCAGGGTATAGGTACAAATAGGTTTTCTCACACAGTTAACAGCTAGTATGTAAAAAAAGAAGAGTGTTTCTTTCTGTAACTTTCTTCTAAGAGAATTAATAATTTAATCGTATCTTTAATTTAAATAATTCAATTCGACAAATTTAGTTATTTAATTTCGATGAAAAATCTGGTTATATTTAAGAAGGTAATACTACCGGGCATTTCCATGTTAATAAATAATATTTGCCTAGTTAAAAATTTAGACGTTATTAAAAATGGGACCTTTTCCTTTAAAGAAATTTTAACCCTTATAATTTTGATCTACCGTATTTACTCGTGTAATAGTTGCACTTTTGGGCCAATTTTTCATTGTGAAATACTAGGTGCGACTATTATTGGGGGGAGGAGTTACTACATAGTATTGTACGATTTTTTTCTGCTTCAAAATGGGGGTGCGACTATTACGCGAGTAAATACGGTATGTATGTTTTCGAGGCTTTGGAATTAAACGTGAAATCTCTGAATAAATTTAAATATTTAATACAGCATAATCCTATGTGTGTAATTTCATGAATAAATTTGCTTATTGATTGGCCATAAAAAGTTAGCTAATCAGAATATTCTCTATCTTTATCTGATATCTTACCTCATTTAGACAGGGTACTAATTAAGACAGGAAACATAACCATTAAAGTAGTAATAATAAAGAACAAATAACTTCCAGGTGTTGCCATTTGGGAAGTATTTAGCGTCGGGTCTTTGGGTAGCAAGCAGCGGGTTTGCATGAAGTAGCTTTTGGAATTAAATAGGTATCCAATTATGACTGTGAAAAAAAAAAAAAAAAAAAGCATTATTTTTTGTAAAATACCTCAAAGTTTATCCCAGCATAGCAGTGAAAGCGCTACAAGTGTACTTGCTGTTTCCAAGCGCTTATTTGTGCGAAAGAGCGTTTTGAGCAGTTGTAGCAATAGAAAACGAAGTATTAGAAGCAAACTAAGTATTGCTAGTGATTTACGTTGCACGCTTTCTTCTGTCCAACCAAGAACTAAATATCTTTTCAATAATATGCAAGCACATCCGTCTCATTGATTGATCTGCTTTTTTTTCTTATCATACCTATGTTAATATAGGTGTAAATCTAAAACAATATATTTCTATAACAAAACCTTTATGAATTATGTTTATTCTTACTACCCTTATAATTAGATAATATTATTATTATCATTAGGAAGGGGGCGGAGGGAAGTTTCATTTTTGGCAGTGTGGGGGGGGGCTTTGGAAACTCATGGGCTAAACAATGGAAATACTGATATGTTTTAAACGTGATCTATTTCCATTGCCTTAGGCCTAAAATATGAATGTACAAATTTATTTTGTTACTTACAAAAGTCTTCTTTTTTAGGATGAACATACCATTCCACTCGCAGATCTCTATACAAGGCTAGGAACAAACCCTGAACGGGTATGTATACTATTTTATAGTTACTTTTGTAATACAATCAATCCCGATCGGTTATGACGATCATTTCAGACTTGCACCAATTTCAAAATTGGGCCTGAATGAGGAAAAATAATAAAAATTAGATATTTTATCCGAAACTGTTGCTGTAAACCGTAACGATAGTCAGTTAACTTTTCCAGGGAAATTAGAAAAAGTCCAGACCTTGAAAATTTCGTTGCTTCTCATTATAGCTCCAATTAGAAAGAACATATGAACATTAAAATTAAATTGACAGTGACTAGGAACGAAGCCATTTTGTCAGGAGTTGTTTTAAAGAAACTTTGGCCCCATTATCACTAAAATCTTAACAAAAAAGCTGCTGCGAAAAAGAATTATCGATTGTATCTTTACTAGGGCATCTAGGTCCTTAGGTTCCAAATCATCATCATCATCTGGGAATTCAGCTAATTCGGTATTTCTGTTTATAAAAATATGAGCTGTCAGCCCTCATTGCTAGATGAAGTTCAACAAGCTTATTTGTTATCGGATGTCGCTTCATGCACCATTATTTAGAAACATCTGTATCGCAGTCTTATATAAACGGCAAGGGATTAATTAACTATAGACAAATAATATTTTTATAATTTTAATCTAAAAATATTCTCTATTAATTTTAGTCGTAAAAATTATTTTATCATGTTGTAATTAAATACGGACAGTTTACTCCTATTCTACTTTCATTTCGAATGCTGAGTCAAAATGTTTTAACAGAAATTCAGTTTTATTAGGTATTAAAGCTTTTTCCTGCATGTCTGATTTACAGGTGCGTTCTTTCACATTTTTTATGCTTGCATCAGCTTGTGTGGAGATGACGTAGGTTGAAACCATTCTCTGTTGGATGCCCGCCAGCACGGCCCTCGTTCATTGCACTTGTTCTATGAAACTTTAAAATTTGTACTCTGCATTTTTACTGTTATTTAAACAATAATGATGTATTTGGTTAAAATATGGCTGAACTATGTATTCTAAATATAGGTGTAAATATAAAACCTAAACTTGCTATTCTCACGAATTTTTTTCAAGTTGTTCTCATCCTCTCCTTACGTTTTAAGACTTCAAATGCCTGAATCTAATCTTTTCATTTTTTGTAATCATTATATTTTTTGCAGTTTTTGCGGTCTACATTGTCATTTATCACCCACTCGGAATGGCGTGGTTTACACACACACACACACACAGATATATATATATATATATATATATAATGATTTAATGCGTAGAAGGAAACACTGGAACTCACAACTTACGATATCTGTCATGTCATGATGATATCTGTCATACCGATGAAGATAAGTGTTGATTTTTCCCGTTAAATTCTATGTAATATATCTGACTTCGAACCTAAAATTTCTGAAGAACACAAAACCTTGTCTAAATCTTAAAGGTTTATTCAACTAGAACTTCAAAAATGATGAAAAACTTAACATCATAAACGAAAACGTAACATCTTAGGTAGAAACATTCAAAATTTCCAGGCAATGCTTTAAACTGTCAGCTATTCCGACACGGTGAAGAACACTCTCTTTAAAAGGACAAAATCCCTCGGCCCCTTTCGGCATATATCGCCATTTTAGTTTCGCTGGATTCAGACTTCAGCTCCTACGTGTTTTGGACTTAAACGGCCGGACTGGAACCGGAACAAGACGGGAATCGGAACAATCATCCCCTGGCTTCTCCTCCGGGCAGGTCTACTCTGGCTCGAACTGAAAATGAACTGCGCCGCTACCAAGGAAAGCACCTCCTTTTATTGACGGCGGTTGCCGTTACTACAGGCGATTATGCAAAATATTTAACAATAATAGTAGATTTTCATAAATCACTAATCTTTATTTTCACACATATCCAATTAATTTGGCAGACACTTATTCAATCATAATTAAATTCCTATGTACGTTGCTTTTTTTTTAAAAGCAAGTACATAGGCATTTGGGACGGGGAAGGAAAGCAGCATGGATGTTGGCATGGCAGAAGCTAAGGAAAGGAAAGAAGTGATGTAGTTTATTGTGCCAAGAATATTTAAAGTAAGTCTGATGTAATTTTAGAGACAAGATATGATTGATTAATTTGAAGTTGTTATATGGCATAAAATGATCTCGAATTTGGGAGAACAGATGAATTTAGGGGGAGAGTACCAAATCTAGAATCGTTAATTTTGAGGTAGCTAATTATTCTTGAAGCAGCTATCGTATTTTATTATATTGTTACGAATTTGGTATTTAAATAGCTAATGTTAGTAGAATTCTAATTAAAATTGTTTTAATTGCCCGTGCAATGCAGCACGTGGCAAATTTTAAGAGAAAGCTACGCCGGAAAGGTAAAAATACAAGAGCACTTGCATTTAATATTGAATAAAAGTTTATCTCTGAAATTGATATTTAATTTGAATAAATGTAATTTATTACTATGTTAGCTGTAACCGTAATTCTACTCTTTTTGTTTTTCAGAAATTGCTAGCACTGTCTCGCGCGGCCGATTTTAAAAAGCTATAAAAGCCGGAGAGAAACATCTCAGCTCAGTTGTTTACTAAGTTGTTATTGAATGTAGCGAATTCGCGGCGAGATCGGATTAGCTTTCTCTGCGCTTTGGATAGCGTTTTATTTAACGTTTTAGTAGTTTAAAATATAGCTGCTGATTATATTGCGTGCTTTTGTTATAAGAATATCTCTGAGGAAAAATTTCAGTATTTCGTTTTATTTCTTGAGATAAGAATAAATTTTATTAACTTTTTATCGACTTTTGCATTCAATCCATTACGAACCCGTACGCACGTAAAAATATGTTGATTGTGTACGCGAAGTAAGTACTGTAGTACAGATTAATCCGATTATTACACGAATTTCGCGTACCAGAGATTGAGAACCTGTGCCTTATTCCATAAAATCAGCTTAAAATTTTAAAACTTTCGACTAAAATAGATTGTAAACTAGAATGAAATAGTGCAAAGGCACTCCAATGGTGGGGTATATGACGAATTTGGCCTAGGGAAATAAGGATAGAAAATGCAAAACTGAAATGCAATAAAACTAGATATTAATGTAACAGCGATTAAGTGCAGTTTTGAAATTTTGTTTAGGTCGTAAAATCTTTTGGCACTGTTCAGATATGAGGAATCTCAATCGAATTGTATTAAGTATTTATTAAGTTATTATTTCACTAGCAAGTAAACCTCTTCAAATGCTTTAAAACGGTAATGCTTTTTTTTAACTTTTCTGCGACTTACCACAACTGAATCGAACCTGGGAAGAAAGCGATTTTAGCTTAATTAGTTTTAATCTCTTTCATATTTTTATCGAACGGTGCAATTCTGGATGCATCATTATTGGTCAGTGCGGGTACCGCAAACGTATAAGGTTAGACATTCCTGACTTAAAGTATCAGAATATTTGCTATAGTATTTGAAAAATTCTTTTTGTTAATTTACCTTATTATGCGTAAAACTGCAATGCTTGCTTGTGTATGAATGCATGTCCAATATTTGAGAGATATATCATGTCTTATTACGATCTCAGATAATCTATAGTTTGAGATCTTAGATTCCGAAGACTGTGTATTATTGAAATTCCTATTCATGAACGTGATTTAGAGGATTCTTATGTATAATTTTTAAGTAATGTTTAGTTTCATTGCTGTAAAATTGAATTTTAGAGGAAGAATATTTCAATTCTGCAGACTGTAATTTATTCTCCATAGGCTGTTTGATTACATTTTATAGATTATAACTCTTATTTACCGGACTCAATATATTTTCTTCGTATTTTCGGAAATGGAAATATGCGTCATTGAAATCTATAGTACTTCACATGCGAAACGAATGGAAAACTATGTCGAAAGTTTACTGGAAGAGAACAAACGTAAATTTGAAGCGTGCGGAGTTTTTTTTTCTCCCACGACGAGGGTACTGTCTACCTTCTACAATTTAGGGTATAATTTGCAAATGGTTGCAGTGCTTTCTAGCGGTTGTAGCTGAGATAATTAAGTACAGGGGGGGGGGGAATTCCTTCTTCACACCGATACCGAAAGATTAATGGTAAAGGATTTTAAGAAAGAAAACAAAATCAGATCAGGGAAAGTAAAGAAATTTTAACATAAAAACGCGTAATATTTAGCATTTTATTGAGGATTTTGTAGTGGCGAAAGTGTCGTGTTAATCAGGAAACGAAAGCTTAATACTATAAGCTAGCCTTTTCAGCCATCAAGAACTGAACCTAAGACTCGAGTTCGGTTTCTAGCAAACAATATTTTCTGGTTTTAGCCATTTAGGCACCGATGAGCCATGTTGTTTTCATGTAAATATTGTTTAGCTATTTCAGATGTTATCCCTCTGTATATTTCAGGAGAAAAAAAAAAATTAAGTCGAAAGATAGCACTTTTCTTGCGTTTTCTGATTGTCACTAATGCTATCGCGTATCGCTATCAATAGAACAAGTTTGCTTAAGCGCAAATGCGCTAAGTAGTTCTTCAAATAGCGTGTCATCTCTTGCACGTCATTTTGTATACTTTGGCTTGGAAAATAAATGACGTTCCCGAAACGTCATTTGACGCTCACAGGTTAACAATGAGCTGATTAAAATAAGTGCGCCCTTTCGAAAAACCTTTACCATCTAGAATTTGTTTTCAGCACGTAAACTTTTAGTTTCGCTTTTCTATGACTTATTCTAAATATCTAAATTTTCCAATACCAATTTTGATGTAATTTTTATTTTAACTGAACTTATCTTATGCTAATATCATCATTCTTTTCTGTGTCTCTTTTATTTTCACCGTTAAATTTTGTTTTATTGGAATTAATTTTGCGCTTATTAATGGCCAAGTAGCTAAATGGCACGAAATTCTTTTCACCTTCGATAGAACAGCTGCTGGTCCACTGGGTTAGATGCTTGTTAGCCCTTGGATCCCGTCGATGGGATGGAGAAAAAAAAAAAAAAAAAAAAAACTTGAGCTTAATGTAATGTCCTCTAGGA